CATTGGAATGATTTCAAACCTGTTTTTATTTATCCTAATAATTATAAAGGTGTGCCTTGGAAATATTTGTTTACATAAATTGTGATCAAAACGTTTGAGACCCACTGAGATAACTTCGACTAAAGTGAACTATCTAAGCCCTCAGAGTCCTTTACCTCACTGAGCCTCTCAGTCTGACAGGAGAGGACTCTCCCTCCACATTATTGTAGAAACAGCTTCTTATATCCGTTAGCGCAGCAGAAGCTAACAACAATCCCCGCCGGTACCGCGGTATCCCCTCTCTCTATCTCTCTCACTTTGGCTGTGAGCTGCGGGCGCCTGATAAGCCAACATCCCCCACTTTCATCACTTACAGCGCCCATCGTACAGGGCAAATGAAAAATGTAACCGGGGTGAAAAGGGTGTTATCTTTAATTAATTATGAATGTTGTTACATCAAGGCTGAAAATTCGTTTTTTTTTTTTTATTATATCTTGTGGAAGTGCAGATCCCCTGTCCTCCACCAGGGGGTGCTGCAGCACCCTCAGCACCCCTACTTCCCACGGCCCTGCAAACCCTCTACCTTCTATCATTTAGGATGATCTGCTTAATTTGCATTTACACAAGTGAGTTCACAGTTAATGCAAATGAATGAATAGTTTCAGATCCAAAAAATAATTTGTTTTCCCCAACCAAGATTTGTATTTTCATGACTGGCAAAAATGAAATAGATATATCAGAAAGGATGCCATGCTTTTCTTTTTCTTCTTTTCTTTATACCAACTTTATTGTAATGAGCTCTTTATGTGTAAGTGAAACAGCACCCTCTGTTGGCTGTTGTGTGTCGGTACACAGCTGCAGGGCAGTATGACTAAAATGTACTATCCCTGCTGCATGTGAACAGGAGCTGCATTTCAATGTGCTGCCAGTGCATACAGAAGACGTGTGAAGTAACCTCCAAGAATTATTATTTTATGATATCTGAGCTTACCCACTCTGAGATGTACTCATCAGCATCCTTTTCTACACAGCTTTCAGTGTTATATACAAATACGAATAGGAAATAGGTTGCTGTATTATGTGTGTATGTGAGTTATTGCAAACTTGCTCTATTGTGCTAAACAGAAAACACACACAATAGTGAGTAAGGATTTAGATGTAATGTAATATATGTTTTTTTACAACAGTATGAATGTGCCTATTCAGCAATAAGACATTTCCATGTATTTCTCTTTCACATTCTGTCTTTAATGTGTGTTTTCAATCACATGGGGATTAATTAAGTGAGCAAAAGGGCTGCGCTGCTCACCATCATGCATAGTAAGAGGACAGGCAAATGGATGGAGAGATAAAATGTAAAAAAAAGAGGTGAGCTGGACCATCCATCTAACTATTCCCCCTTGCCTCCCTCTTTTCTGTGTCTATATGGGAGAACAGAGAAATGTGAGCTTTCTATTAGAGGGAGAGGGTGGGGAGATGGAGGGAGGGGGGAGGAACACTCGATACGGTGAGGCGAGAGGAGAGGAGGAAAGTGAGACAGAGACGAAGGAAGTGAGAAGAGAGGAGTGCCATGATAGAAAAGTGTGAGGATATATGGAGGGATGGAAGAAGATATCATCATGTTAGGATTTAGGTGTGTCCTTCTGTGTTAGAGTTTTCATTCATTTAACAGGAGGGGCAGCACTTTCACTCACACACACACAGACGTGCATTTACAACACATTCATTTTTGCTGCGGAGGGACACACTCCCCTCCCTTGTAACTCCAGGGGAAGCGGCAGATTTTACAGCTCACACACACACACACACACACACACACACACACACACACACACACACACACACACACACACTCTTTCTGTTTTATCATCAGACAAGTCCTGTTTCAGAGTGGACTAGCGACAGAAGGATGCGCCATGAAGGTGAGCTCTCCTTACATTTGTTTAGTTTGTATGCGTGGTATCACTGGGCTCTCAGCCAAACATTGCTTTGATTAATGTTTGACTGTCATTACTTTGACTATCTATCCATCCATACGTATCTAACCATTTCCATCTTATCTTCTTACTTACTTATCTGGAGCTGAGAATAATGTAATGCTCTGTAGGTGTCGAGGAGAAAATGGTAATGTTCCTCTCCGGAGGTGTCCGGTGTTCTGACGTTTCTTTGGCTTCAAGTGCTTCACACTCAAGTGGCTTTTCAACTGTGTGAAATGTGCGTAGGGAGACTTGAATAGATTCAAGGATCTTTTGTGTTGATGCTCTTCTTGCTTGTTGTGCCTTGTTTCTAAGTATAAGGATTGTGTCTGTTGTGTCACGGATGTTTATATAATGGGAAGTAGCTCACATTTATTTTCACATGTGTATCCCTGCATGTGAGTGCTGGTGCGCACTTCAGTGAATCCTGGAGAAAGTGCTGATGTTGACTGGTGAATATTTCATTAAGTGGCATTTGCTGTTGTACACCAGATGCTGATAAAATGACACGCCAACCTTAACAACACTGTCAAGTGAAGTGCACCTCTGTTACTGGGCAGAGCAAGCAAGACTTTAATGAACAATGTGATCTTTTGTTTATATATTTGCAATGGGAAGAAAAGAGATTTGATTTCAGACATACACAGTTTGTGGTTTATTAAAAGTGATGCATTCTAGGATGATAAAACAACCAATATTAGCTTTTAGAACTAAAATACAGAAATGTGATTTATAAGAAACAAGGTTGAAATAGTGGGGTATATGTTCACTAATAGTAAACAAGAAATTGCACTACAGAAATGCCAAAGTTGATTTACTGTAATAGTATTTTTTGGAAACTGTGTCCACGACTGTCCACCAGATAGCACTGACAAGCTGATTTTTTTAAAGTAAAATGTCTGGCTCAGGACATATTTTAGTCACAGTTCTTCGATGAAAAAGTGTTTTATGGTTCTTAATCATGCATTTTATGTTTATATTACATGTAATATGATAATCAGATTCCTTTAAAAACTCTTTCAATCAAGTGTCTAGTAAAAATATGCTTAGAACAAGTCATATAACTTATAAACTGCATACAGCTGCATACAAAAATATCTATGAATTGATTTCACTTTGGGTAATATTAATAATAACACAACTTTCCAAAATATGAATTATCCCTTTAACTGAATACAGGAGTTGTAAATTCATTGCACACGTCATCACAGCATGTCTGAGGAGGACAGCCAGTCCCTCCTCACTGTAAAGTGACGCAGGCAGGAGTATTACTGTAACTGTTTTAAACTGTCATTTTATCCACAAGATAATCAAAGACAAATCATCTCTAGACCTTTACACCAAGTTTTTCCCTTTACTATTTCTCCTTCTTCCCCTCTGATTCCTCCTCATCGTCTCTGTTTTATAGTCCCATCAGTCTTTCATGATGTGTGCACACAGCACTGCCTTACAAGTGGGCTGCAGAGACAAAATGGGCTGTCCAAGTCCGACCTGCTCCGACTGACTATCAGTGGGGAGGACTGGAGGAAAAAGTGGGGGGTGTGATGTGAATGGAGGAAGAGAATAACAAGGTAGGGTTAGGAGAGAATTAGAAATACAACACTGTAGAGAAGGGAAAAGGAAGTGGTGAAAATCAGATTAGAGACAGAAGAGATGGCTTTAGTATTCCTGCTTGCAGACAGCATCAATATGCCGAGTACAGAGACACACATGATGCACACAGACAAACAGACCCTGAAGCCCATCAGACCATAGTGCAAAGAGCCAGCAGGAGAGCCCAAAACACCTCAAATTGTATCCATGGCAACTGAACCTCTGGCTCCCTGCACTGTTTGTCAAAAACAAAGGGACAGACAAAGAGGGAGAGTGTGTACACTGGACGTGATATCTCTTCAATGCTGGGTCATTTCTGGTTAGCCCTCTGAAAAGGTTTCATTACACTGACGGATAGAGCTTTAGATTCAGGGATATTTTCTTGGTGGATGTTATCTGTAGAGACTGATAGGTTACTCTTCACTCGACTCTCCCTGTCTGGCTTTACCTGTTGAATCCATCCAACTACACACTAATGATGCAAAACTGACTGATGTTTACTAAAGAGTAAGTGCATTTCTATTAAAAAATGTATTGTACATACAGAACCACACAATGGATAACCTGCAATAGTCAGTACTTAAAAGCCTTAGTTAATCCCTCCAAAGTACATATTATGTCAATGCAATCCAGTGACAAGTTCTTCACGTCATTGTTCACAAATAAGTCAAAATGCTTGGTTGTGTTGTAGTGCAGAGTGTTTTCTGATAAAAAAAACTATAGCTAAAGTTGTGATGACAATAATTGATGACAAAAGCACAAAGCGAGAGATTTTTTGCAAGGCATTTTTCATTTCATTGCAATACAGAAAAAGGAAAATACAAATCTGTTTACAGCTCTGCTTAGCACAAAAGGAAAAATAGTAGTCGTAACCAGAGGCGAGCTATTGTCAAGAAATAATATAAAATCCTTGGACTCACAGTATCAAAGTCTGATCCAGGCATATGGAGATATTTGGTTTAACCTGAGGAGCTTTTGTGATTCATTTTCCGCGTCTCTATTGAATTCAAATTGAAGTATTTTAGCTGATATATGCCTGTATGAATTTTTTGTCTCTTGGTTATACAAAAACAAAATTACATAGCTGTACAATAAAGTATTACTTCAACCATTGCGAAATATCAAACCAAAAATTACATTATTACAGAAACATAACCCAGGATTAACAATAAATTAGTCTGTTTAAGATAATCACTAACACACTTTTCAATGTATTTGCCTTTTACTCTGCAGGAAGTTTGACTTTCAGATCCAGATGTTTTTTTAGGCCATCAAAACCACTGAACATTTTTTTGTTTTTTTATTAATCATCACAAAAAAAGGGTAATTTAGTGTCAAGTGGCACCTTGACTGCATCATAGTGGATACAAACATTATGAATTTCACAATAAACAAATAAAAACTTCAACACACGCTGCAATGGCTCATGGGTAATGTAGTATTTAGTGAACACTCAGGAACTTTCCTGCATAACGGGTGTTCGCTGGAGTGTTGGAGGTCACTTGTATTAAAACACCATTTAAAATCTCCTTTGGGAACATAAAAGGGTTAAGATTCAGTCAGGCATCAGTAAAGATCTTACACAGATGTTATGACATTTTTTTTTCTTCAAGTAGCCCAGGAAACAAGAATTGCTCTTTTTGCTTTCCACGTCCAAAAACAGAAAAGCTTGATAAATTATTCATATGGACTACATTAACACAAGGAAGTCACAACCTGTTCCAGTGAGAGTGTGTATGTGTATGTGTATGTGTATGTGTATGTGTGTGTGTGTGTGTGTGTGTGTGTGTGTGTGTGTGTGTGTGTGTGTGTGTGTGTGTGTGGTAGTAGATAAAATATGCCTGTGTGGGTACAAAATAAAGTCCCACAAGCCACCAGTCACACACACACACACACACACACACACACACACACACACACACACACACACACACACACACACACACACACACACACACACACACACACACAATCTCTTCATGAAACCACCAAATCTGCAGTGTGGGTTGACACATTATCCATCATCCTGTGCTAACAAGGGTTTAACCAGGCAAAACAAACGGCACACTCTCAGGACACAACAACATCTTAGCAGAGAACATCAGATGCGAAGGAAAGGAGAGGATGTTGACTCTGTTGGGCATTGTTCGTACCGGAATTGATCATTGATTACTTTTACAGCGTGTATTATATATACACATTTCAGAAATCTGTGTATTGATATGCATTACCTTGATAGATTTGAGGGAGGGGTGAGCCAGATTAAATTGTACTACAGCAATAATACATCAGTATCATTTTACAGGTTTATAGCTGTTGTTTATGTGACAGATGGCATTGTTTTTGAAACCAGTGGTATACATTTTCACAGCTACAGATTCTGGGATGTTTGTCCTTGATATTCAGTGTGCTTCCAGTACAGGCGCTTTAGTCACTTTAATGTCTCTGTTGTTCAGTGTTTTGTGGAGCTCCTCTATTTCATGACTGCTTCACTCTGCATCAATTCTCATTACGCTGCTGTCACTGCGCAATTAACAGCTACATGAAATTCACCAAAAATAACTAGGGGTGGTGAACATGCAGAGAATTACAAATGTGTCCTAAAAAGATGTGCAGTGATCTGGAAAAAGATGATTAATGTGAACAGTGACTCTTGCAGAGAGTCTGTATTTTAGACATTATACACAGCCAATTTATTAAAGGTCCCATGTCATGCTTTTCTGGTTATTACCCATCCCCTTATGTGTTATGAAGGTTTTTATGCATGTAAACAGTCTGCAGAGTCACAAACCCTCAAAGTACGGCCTGTAGCGAGTAAAGCTCTAACACAGAAAATACCTGTCTATGCTGCCCCAGAACGCATTTGGGTATAGTTACGTCACGCAGACTTCCTCACACACACAATCTTTTATCAGCTGCAGCTCTGCGGATTTCTAAGCCTGAGACGGCGGGACGAGGCGAGGCTGTGAGTCTGTGTGTGAGCACACACAAACTCACAGCCAGGCTGCGGGTGTGTGTGTGTGCTCGGGCTGGTTTTCAATGTGTCTCGCAGATCGCCACTGGGCTCATAGGGAGGGGGGAATCGATGGCGCGAAAGTGGATAAAGTGTATTGCCCAGTGGGGCGAGAGTAAGTGCGTGTACGTGAGTCGGGGTGCGAGCATCGCAGTTGAGCGAACGACAAAATTTCCAGGTGAGCGGAGTAGCCGGGGGTAGAAATGAGCTAGAGTGTAAGAAGCGAGAGCTGCGCATTATGGGACGAGTGAGTCTTAGGGCGTAAATATAAACACGTTAAAAGTTGTGGGGAGTGTAACCAGAAAGGAGTATATGCGATAGGAGACAATATCATGAAGTG